ATGTGCCATCATTTCCCATCACTGTTGTGTACTCCGTACTGCACACTAAGCGCACATACACACGCTGCTAAAGATTTCAGACAAGGATTGTCAGAATGAATGAATCCAGTATTTTGATTTGTTAGGCTGAAAAAGTAGGCTAACGCAGTAGACTCAAAAGCAGGAAAACTTAAAGCAAAAAATAGCAGTATTCAAATGCTGGGTGCATCTAGTAAATTGTAATTGTCTCTGCCCTGCACATTAGTATGTTCAGTCCATTCTCCTATTGTAGTCCTTTGTCTATTCCATTACGAAGGCTTTAATGACCTTACAGCTTAACAAGAAGGAAAGGTAAGTATCCTACCTCAAAACAAACAGCCCAAGAAACCAACAAGACACTGCCCAAGGGGCTCTATGGCCTCACGCCTTGCTCACGTTTATGACAGATGTGTCCCTCAAGAAGGTTATTCCAGAATGAAGTCTCCCCCTTGTGGATCTCTCTCAAATAAAAGCTCCATCAAATAATTCGCTGTAAAGCCTGAGCTCCTTCCTTTACAGGTAAGACTATCAGAGGCAAATACGAGCACGTAATCAAATTATGAAAAGCATTCCTTGACTTGACTCAGTGGGTTTGATCTCACCTCAGGAAAGAGGAGCTGTTTTGTCCTAAGACCTCTCACAATTCTGTGCAAAATTAATTTCAAAGAAACTAAAAATCTCTTCCCCTGCCATCTCCACATAGGGTAACTGTGAAAATTGGTTTAATGAACGCCCTCAAACTTCAACCCAAAAACATCAGTAGTTTAACTATTTAGGTAAAATTCAAATTCCAAACTGCTTCTATCTGAGTGAACACAAAACACATCGTGATTTTCCCCCAACTCTAAGTGGAAAAAGTTCCCACTTTCATCTGAGAACACATTCTTGTGTCTCAGAAATGATGGAGCTACAGAACTCTTTGCAGAATGACTTCCTCAAAGACTACATTAACTATGCCATTCTCTGATCTGCATTAATTTGAAGGGATCACAAAGATTCCTTTGCATATGATAATTCACATTATCATAAATTAAGAAAACATTGTGATCTGTTTCATTATCACGCTGGTCCTCATGCTCTGCTATGGCATTTAAGCATAGCTCTAGGAACTCGTACATTTTGTCCATGAGATTGATTTTTTTTTTATTATTTTCTAAGAAGCAAAATGGCTTGAAATATTATTTAATTATGTATGTGACAAACTCATATTTTATTCGTAGTACCAACTGTTGAGTCGATACTGGGTAAAAAGCTTTTTAACTACTCAGAAATTGTTCTCATATTCATTTCAGAACAGTAATAGAATGGTTAAATATTTATTTCTTGCAAGTTTTGGAATTACACTATGTTTCCTACTTTCATTAGCAGTCTCTCATTTGTATGCAGTAATTGCTTTAAAAATATAAGCACTGTAATTTCTTGCCATCACTGTGGTAAATCAGAAAGTCTTATCCCCATTTCCCCACAAAAGAGCATAACTCTGCTTCCCTTGACACCGATGACAAAACATCTTTAATTTTAGGATTACACTCAAACAATTAATGAAAGATGCTCATTGGACAGTCTGGAACTCTTGTCCTTTCTAACAGCAGATGCAAAAGCTTAGCAGTGCTACTTTGCCAAAGCGCCTCTGCAGGCAGTGACAGCTATTCCAACTGCAAGGGCGGCTGCTTCATCTCAGCCATCAGCAAACCATGCTTTCTTCTCCAAATAAGAGAGTTTTTAGGATATAAGTATTAGGATATTATTAAGAAAAAGGGTATCATTGATCCATTTCAATCATCCATCAATAGTGATTGTGAGCTGCTCTTGGACTGAGACATGCTGTGGTGAGATGCCAAGAACCCATCCCTGAACCTGTTGCTGCTTTAAACGTTCTTAAGAGTTCAATTTAACAAAACAAAGTTTGCAGTCCTAAGCAGCAAAAGGCTGCAAAATAGATTCTGATCTCTGCTCTTCCATTCAGGGAACAAGGCTTGCAAAAATCATAAAGACAAAACACTACAGAACAAACCACCACAAACCTGACCAAGCGACAAGAGACTCCTGCAGAAAGGCTCTTCAAGCCCCTAAAAAGAATTTTCCGTACTTTAGTCATATTCTCAGACTGCCTGCTTATCTTGGCAGGACAGATGAGAAACTCCAGTTCTCAATGAATGTGCAATAAAAGGAGGCAAATAATTGCTAATTACAGTATTGGAAGCTATATTTTAAAGTCATTGGTACTTTACTAAGTACTTTGATTTTCTGGGAAATGGTCTCCGTATGTGATCACTACTAAACGAGCTGTACTGCCAGTAGTGACAGACATATGTAATTTGTGATGTACAATAAGATGAACAATTGTTAATTATTTTTCCTGAAGAGAAATGTCTATATGACTGTATAACATGGCCTCTGTACGTGACAACATTCATGCTGCAATTCTGGATTAACAGCTACCACCTAGCATATAGCTTCAATGCGCATACTTAACTCTCATTAAACACAACCAAAGGGATGTAACACCACAAACACTAAACTAGGTTGTCCTATTAAAGCACGCTATGGGAACCAGCAAAATTCATTCTAACACTGTGAACGTGTTTCAGCTCCTAGATCTGAGTTCAACATTTACTCTACTACTGCCAACAGTCAAGAGTACATGGACACACAGAGAGGGTAAACTTTGTACAATGGTCATTCAGCTCTTTGACAGACAGTACGAAGATTCTATATGGGAAACTAATAGAGCTGTTCTATGAAAAATCTACCATCCTTTGTGATTTTATGCTGTTACCTCTTTGCCATCAAAATAACACATACCATTGCTGAAGTCATTCTCCTCTCCTTACCTTGCCAAGCCTGTATGTTGCCATACATCAAGTGCTTTTTATCTCCTTCCAGACCTGCTATCTAAAGTACCACGTCTTCCCCACAGCAACTGAAGTTTATCATACTCTCCTCCTGCAGCTCTCCTAATGCTCCTTAAATCTCTCCAGTTCCTCCATTTGCTCTCGCTCCGTGTTGGACTTTCATGCTAATTGTTATCCAAGCTGTCTCCTCTGCAGTCTCAGCTGTCCCACCCTAAGAACACCTTCTCTGAACACTGTTCACCCTTTTTCACTTCTTGTGACCTCTCTTTTCCCCCTTCTCTCATCATCACTAATCCTGCTCCCTTCTTTTTCCAAGCTATTACTGCCCGTGATTTTTGAGTTCTCCATTTTTCATTCTGCCAGAACTGAGATATTCTGGAATTCTAAATCCACGTTAAATATCTGGGTCTTTTAAATTACCAAAACAGGTACAAAACAGTTAAGAGTCAAATCCGAGCTCTGCTCTTCTCCGTTATCTCCCCATGGTAATACAGAGTCCTCACTGCTTTGTGTACCACAGTGGCACAGCTCTCTGCATGATCTCATGCATTAAAATAAGAGAAAGCATGCCAGGAACACATCAGGGACTGCATGATTTTTTTTTTTTTTTTTTTTGAACCAGAGAACTTATGTGGAAAAGTTATTAAAGCTTCAGCAGATTATGAGTGTGAGACACGAGCGACATGAAATAAAATTTAGAAATGGAGTATCTATGTGTTTAGGGCTGTACTACAATATGCTGAAAAGTCGGAGGAGCAGCTTGTCCCAAGACACAGGAAAACATTAAAACTACCTTGAAAGGTAATACACATAGAAGACTAATTTTAAATATATTTTAATGAGGAGTGTTTCAGAGACAGAACCATTGGTTGTGCACATGGATGGCTTAAAAAGCCCCACAGATACCTTTTCAATGATTACTGCTTGCAGACATCACGTGCATACATACCCACACCACATCATGATGCTCGTGTTCAGGAAGGACAAAAGAATTGCAGAGAAACACACCATTGGTGTACACACATTAGGAAGCCCCCATTGCCAGTTATTTTTTCTACAGCCAGCAAACATCACGTTTGAGAACTTTCAAAGAATTGTGTAAAAAAGCGAAAAACACCTCAAAGGGACCGACAGGAGCTATTCTTCCTGTGTTAAGAGCATTACAGGTAACATAGAAAGTGAAGCCAGAAGGAACAATAAAATTCCATGTATATCAAGGTCACTAATCCTCACACAGTACCTCTAAACTGAGGCCAGTAACCTGTTTGACAACACATCTTTCAGAAAGATAATAGTCTTGATGTCACAACACGAGAAAGTTGGGAATCTTTGATCGTTTTTCTCATCCTTACTACTTGAAACCTTGCATACTAAACATTATCTGGGAGTTTGGTAGAGATGGATCTTCGGAGCTCGAAAAGCAAGAAACTGAACACTGTGAGTGGCAGAGGAATCTGCCTTCTGAGAAAATTACTGAATATCAAGTATCTCTTCACTGGATGTGCCACCCTGCTGTCATTAGGGCTGTCCTCTGAGATATCAAAGCTCCTTATGCCTACCTTCAATGAACGGGTATCACAGCCTGGCAACCCAGCCTTGTAATTCCTGTATCAGGGGGAGGGACATCATTTTGTTCACCATTAGAGGTGCCCCAATTTCTAGAACAGAAACCACGGCTGACAACTTCTGCTTCTCAGGAAAAGGATGAAAAGGTCATTTGTACAGGAAATACAGTTCTCTTCAGTTTCCCAAGACTGAATGAGCTAAGAATGAACACCTACCCATTGACTTTCCTTTGAGTAGGTAAACTTACTTTAACCCTTCCTTGATGCTAGAGGTAGCAGACCCCAGCGTTCAGCACCAGAAACAAAACAGTATCTCCTGCTGGGCAAGGGAGGAGAAAACCAACACCCCACAGATGCCCAACCACTGGGATGGACACAGGGCTAAGAGTCGGCAACAGAAGGCTGCAGAAGGCAGACCCAGCAGCGAGGCTGCAGAGCACCCCGAGCACGGCACAGCCGGGAGGAAGGTGAGCTCCGCGGTACGGGGTCGGGGTTCCCCCCGGGAGGCCGAGGCAGCGCCGGACTCCACAGGGAGAGAACGGGCCCCGCGGCAGCGGCTCACCTTATGCTCCAGGACGCTGATGTAGCCCTCCAGGAGTCCGGCCCCGACGGGGAGCGCCGGCCGGTGCTGGCCGCGTCCCGGCGGGCTGCTGGGCACCGCCGCCACCTGCTGCTGCTGCTGCTGCCGCCGCCGAGGCTCCGGGCGGCCCCCGCCGCCGCCTCCGATGCCGCCGTACATGAGCAACAAGCTGGTGCACATGGTGGTGAGCGCCAAGCAGACGGCCAGCCCGTGGCGCTGCGGGGGGCAGAGAGAGGCGGCTGAGAGCCCCGGGGACAGCGGCCGGCCCCGCTCCCCAAGTTTCACGCCGCGGGAGCCCCGGCAAAACTGTGCCGAAGGTTCGGGACCCCCCTCGTCCACGCACCGCCGCCCCCCCGCCCACCCCCAGCCCGGCTCCTCCGGCTCCCCCACACCTCTCCTTCCCGCCCCGTCCCCGTCCGGACACCTCACCCGTGCATTTCAACGAGTGCTGGGCACGATCGCGCTCTCCTCCCTCCCACCCCCAACCTCCAGCCTCGTCCTTTTCGCAGCTCGTCTTCCCATCCGCGTCTCACGACGCACACACACAAAATCCCCGAACCCCGAGCAACACGAATAAAAGAAAGCATGCGGAAAGTTCGCCGCCGCCGCCGCCCGGCTCGCGCTCGCCCTCCCGCACCCCGGAGAGCCGCGAGGACGCGGCCGGGGCAGGCGGGTGCGCGTGCGCCCAGCCCGGGGCAGCCCCGCGCCGCTCTTCTCCTCCCGCCGCCGGGCCGAGCCGAGCCGAGCCAGCGCCGCACTCACCATCAGGGTCTTCATTTTGTGCGCCTCCCGGGCGCCGCTCCGCCCGCTCCCCGCTAGGCTCGGCATGGCGGGGGAGCCGCGGCCATGGCTCGGCCGGGGAAGCGCCGCCGTGCAGGGGATTAGGGGGGAATTACAGCCGGCCGGACCCTCGGAGCTCTGCCAGAGCCGGGTCCTCGGCCGCCCCGCCTGCCTCCGCCTCCTCCTCCGCCTCCTCCCGGCGGCGCGGCGGCGGCTTCAGGGCAGGTGGAAGTTAACTTCTGCCGCCCCTCGGGCGCGCTGCTCCGCCGCCGGCGGGGACGCGGCGGGCACGCGGCCCCGGCTGCCGGCCAGCGGGGAGCCTCGCGGCGCGACCCTCACGTGGAGCCGCGCCGGGTTTTCCCCGGCGGAGAATCCGTGGCTCTCCCCCGCCCGCCGTGCTGGCTGAAGCCGGCGGCGTTCAGGCAGCGCTTGAAATTCGCGTTCGTAAAAAAAATCGACGCCCTCAACTCCTTGTGCGGCGCTAACGCCGCCCTCCTTCATGCAGCCCTTCCCCAAAGCGGTATCAAAGCCTTTTGATAGAAGCTCTCCTCTTTTTTTTGTTTTGCTCCCCGTGCCATCTTTGCAGCGGCTGAAGGTGGGCATTTCTCCCCCTTCTTTTACAAGCAGCCTTCCAAAGTTTTTTTGTATTTTTTTTTAATTGTTTCCTTCTCCGTGCTGATGGTTCAGACATAAAAACTTTATGAAGGGACCTCAAATTACACAGATCTCTTACTCTGGCAGTCCCACGTATTAGGACGTGCCCCTTCAAAACAAGCCATTCTTAAGTTGATGTCTTATGAAGTTATTAAAATGAAAGCGTAGCATTTAAAAAAATAATCCATCTCCTAATCATGATGATTTCTCTTGAAATTACTCATGGAAATAATAGGTCTAATATATGCTTTCACATCTAACCTATAGCTATATAACATTAAAGATTACATTAAGGAGAAAACGATCAGCAGGCTAACTCAACCATGGGCACAATAGCAGCTTTCTCAAGGCTGAAATTGTCATTGAAATCCATTTTTTATCTTCACTAATTCATTGGGGGACTAACAGTGAAACAAATGCCATCTCGAGCACTGGCACAGAGCGCAGCATTTACCGCCTTTTAAGAAAGTGAAAAGAAAGCAGAATGTATGGGTACATCAGTGGATAAGATGGTAAACACGCTTTATCATTTCAAGGAAGAATGTCCTCATCGCGCGCACCCTTGCTATTTATTCAGTTGGTGGGTTTGGTTTCAATGCACCAGTTGTTAAGACAAACGAAGCAATATAAGAAGAATCTTATCAGGTCTTGGTAATTCGTTATTATGTGGTTGCACTTGACACTCAAATTAGTGAAACAAAGGGCCAAGCTGATGAATCATTGAAAGCAAATTATCTGTGGCTCTCCAAGGCTTCCTGCTATAGACTGCAAGAGGCAGCTCATGCATTTTGCAGTGCTGTTTCTCAACTATCAGCAAGCAGGTTGGTAGTGACTGACCCTTCTAATATATTTTGCCATGCCAAACTGAAGCGTCATTTTTATGATTTAGGCTCGTGGCTCCATGTTAGACATCTGTTACCCAGTATACGTCCAACCAAAGTCATTAAATTTGTGGGTTTGGGTAGAAGAGACTGATTCAAAAATCTTCTGATAAAGGAGGCAAACTAAATTTTCTAATGTAATGCTGAGCTGGACTTGAATAATGTCCAGCTTTCTGCTCCTCAAATATTTAATTAGATTGCTGTGATGGTCACAGGCAGCATTCTTGGCAGCCAAACGCACACTGAAACAAATACAGTAGCGTGATGTAAATCCTACGGAGGCATTTATGTGTAAGCATGGGAACTTTAGAAATCATCTGGAAAACAGCCCAGCCATTTAATTTTAAATTCCTATGAATTAATAGTTTTAGCTATTGGGACGCTTGCTTTTTAGTAGTATTTGAATGCACATACACGTGCAGGTAAGCATCTGAATAGTCAACAGTTAGATTTGAGAAGAGTAGAAGAGCACAGGCTGTACGCATAAGCATTTAATCAACTTGGAAACAAGTCAATGAAGAAGGTATCTTAAAGTGCATCTGACTTCCCACTTCAAGCAATTTATTTTCAATGTGCAGCCAATACTGAGCTGGATTTCTGGCTGGTCAACACTTTGCTGTAGTTCTGTATACCCAAGGCATTGCAGGTGCTTTTTCTCATCCATCAACAGTTTTGTTTGTAACTTTTGGCTGACACGTTTCTCCATGGTTTGACACTCAGTGGGATACAAAGCACAGGCAAAGACTGTGTTCTTTACACAAGGATACCGCTCTTCACAGCGCTGGTTATGTCACCATGCATGTAATTGTCTTCCTACCTAAGAGCCAGGGGTAAGGACAGAATAAAACACAACAGCCGCTTTTCCTAGCCCAGGAGGAAAAAAAGTGGCAGGGTCATTTTGTAGATTTTTCAACAAAGCCTGACTGAAGAGAACTTCCCATCTGCATGGAAGGGACTGGGCTGTCCCCTCCCCATTTGACCCTGTTCATTGTCACCTTTCAGGTAGCTGCGTGCTGACAGAAGAGTCACATGAAATGAAAATCTGCTTGTGGCAGCTTCGGGAGAACCTAAGATACTAATGACAAATAAAAATCCATGCAGTGTGAGAAATCCATGTAAGAAGTAGTGATGCAGATAGAGACAAACTTCTCAAAATTGACAGCTTATTTGGAGCAAGAGAGCTCTTTCACCAATTGCTCAATAATACTGCTCAAACAGTAACTTTCCCTGAGCTGCTGGGATGAATGAAATATCTATCCCTTTATCACACGTTGTTTAGCTTGTCCTCCACAGATTTCCCTGTGCAGATATAGTATATATCTAGATATTGGACAACATCTGTATAGATAGAGTATATGTATTTCCCTGTGTAGATTTCCTTGTAGAGACATAAAACATCCTTTTAAAGAAACAATGACTGATTTCTCATGAAGTTCATAAAAAGACAACAAAGCATAATCTACACCTTAATATCATGCAGAATTCTAAGCATGTTTTCCATGTTATGGGTGGCCTGGAATGAATACTTGATACTCATCATTCATGCCATAGCTTCTCATCAACTAGTTGCCGAAATATTGAGTACAAGTTAGGACGAGAGCAAAGACTAGAATTTCTGCTGATGACCCTGATGTTGTGTGCCAGGACGTTTCTCCTGAGCACCCTGGCTGCCATCTATGTGACTCCAGCAGTCTCCAGCTCTGGACTCTGCTGTCCCTCTCTCCTTTTCACCTACTTGAAGGCTGTAGGTGGGTATACAGCATGCCTCCAAACTGGAAGCTGCAGCTACTTTTCAGCCCTTCTCAGAATGAAAGCCCAGACAGTCTTAAATGTTTGATTGCTTTGTGACTCATTAATGGCAGTGTCTGCTTTCCTGAAAAAAAAAGAAAGAAAGAAAAAAAAAGACAAAATAATTTAGCTCTATGCCCAACTTGAAAGGGAGTAAGAAAATGGGTTTTTTTGTTTATCTCTCATCCTTCACAAAAGACTGAGAAAAAGAGGGATCTGGTGTGATATAAGTAGGTAAGCTCTAGGTGAGTCCAGCATATTACTTGGCAGGAGTGCTGAAAGCACTTTAATATATTCCCATCATGTGTATGAAGATGTTTTTCAGAAAGATATTGGTACTGGAAGTGCTTAAAATAGATTGGAGGGGGGAGGTTGATTGGATCGGGACCACTTTGTGCCTCTGAAATTAAGAATCTGAGTTACTAAGATTCTATACATGGCTAAGCACGAGAAAATATTTGTTAAAAATATAAAATTAATCTAAAAGCGACTCTATTAAAAGTTGTATCACTTTGTCATTTCCACTGTATTCTGTTGTCTGTGAAGCCTTGGATCTGCCTCTTCAAGAGGAAAATCCTGGCCCCACTGAAATTAACTCCTATACATCTTTTATCCCTCTGCTTGCTGGGGCAAGGAGCTCACTAGCAAGTACAAAGCTCCCACTTCCAGCTCTGCAGGCTCATGAGATATGAGCTTAAACCCTGATCACTAGCGTAGAACAGAATATTGCTTCTCCTGGGCCTCAAGCCAGTGACATTTGGGAAAATGGCTTTGAGTGCCACATTTCAAGGGGGGAGAAGTGAGCACTGTTTGACTGACTAGCTAGAAAAATGAGCCTGAAGGTGCTAAGGAGGTTGCAAGATGATGAAAGTTTGTGTGGATTAATGGACAAAGGGGCAGTCAAAGGTACATAGGAAATGAAATAAATCACATGGATATCACCTCCAGATGTTGTTTTATTATTTATGTATATATGAAATTTTAACTTCTTTTTCCTGAGAGGAAGGGCTGCATTTTTGCATCGCAAACACAACCAATGGAAAATATTCAGCAGCCAGCAAAGTAATGAGCTTACAGTATAGATTTTTCAAACTGCCCAGTGATTCATGAAATGCTTTCCAAAACTAGAAATATGCATTGAGGATTGGTCAAAAAAAGGTAGAAACAATAATACAGCTCAGTCAATACTGTCCCTCCTTTATGAAAGCAAACTGCCTTTGAACTTCTGACAGAAGCAAACTGTGATAGATGGATAAAAAAAATGAAATATTGCATAGAAATAGAAGTGCAAATGAAAACAGAAAGGGGAAAATAGCAAGATAAGACCTGCTGAATCTGCTGTTTTTTTTTCTTTTCTATTTCTTACTTTTATCCTCCATCTTGGAAACATAAATAAAGATACTGAATACTTCAGAAACAATCTGTCTAGCTCAACCAAGAGGATCCATCTACTTTAAGAACACATGAAATGCTGCATTGATCTAATCACATTTTTGGGGGGAAAGTTAAACAAGGCACATCCTAGAATATACTACACACCAGTTGCTTACATGTGTTTATAATAGTTCAAAATTTCAAGTAGAAAAGCCTTGGAAGAAATTAGCACTAGTGTTCACAGATAGAGGCTACCCAATATGTAACATAGAAGCCAAAAGGCCCAACTAGTGAGTGTTTTGCATGGCCTTTTGTGTTATTGTTCAGTGTAGAACAAAAGAAGGAAAACATACGTAACTTCTATGCATACAGAACAGTTTTAACATATGGACTTAAGCAACTGAAGAGATCATTACCATAACTGAATGAGAAACTGGGTACACTGGATATATTCTGGGGTACCTTTGCTGTAATATAGGT